TATTAACAGAATGAAGGGAGGAGCTACATGTGTGGCTGGCTAGCATTGCAACCAGGATGCAGAAGGCTCCCTTTCTAAAAACTGCAATCTGTGGGTGGATGGCTTCATCCACATGAAGAAATTGGGATCAGGAGAAGTCTGCTGAATGCATAATACAAATTGAAATTACCTGTGCTGCTCTAAGAGCGAAAATAAAAAGCTCTGCAAATGGAATACTAAATATAGTAGCATTCAGTGACTGGGTTCATATATTGTGTTGTTTTTGCAATGGGTTATTAAATAATTTGTTACATAAACATAAGCTTGTTTGGGTTTATGTTAGCATTTCATGTAAGTCCTGTTAGAGGTTGACACATCTATTTCTACACATGAACATTGCTGACCTGCAAGAATTTGTCCCAAGCAATTCTTAATGAAGCAGGTTTTAGAACTATAACAGAAATAATATTTCTTGAAGGAAATACATTGCGGTGTAGGCAAAACCTAGGATTTGGCTATATTCTACTAGAAGAAGAATCCAGGGGCAGGTTCTACATGCATTTTTGTCTAAGAAGAAAGAGAACTGATATCAAGAAGCAAACAGAATTATGGTCAAAGAGAGTACACAGGGCACACCCTTAATCCATTACTGTTTTCTATATCATGTAATGTTGAACAATCAGTTCAATTAGATATGGATCTTCAACCTCCCTATTCACTGATTTGTTAACCTTCAACTCCCATTGTGTCTCAAAATGGTTCTGTGTTGATTTCTGGGCAAAGAGTCAATAAATCCATCCGCCAGGATTTCTTATGATGAGTTCTCTTAACACTTCTAAAATAGTGGTTCTTGGGTCTATCTGCATTTAAATGTACTTTTTTCCATTTGAATATATCCTTGATTGACCCTAGGCCAGATTATTGACTCATCTATCCCGAAGCTCATTAAAACTTTATGTAGCCACCTAGTTTTTTGTGCCTTTTAGGTATTTGATTAGGACAGACATGTCAAACTCGTGATGTCACGTGATGTCACATAACGTATCCGGACTGTTTTGCTATTGCCAATGGGGTGGGCGTGGCTTCCGCATGATGCATCTGGCCTGCGGGCCCGCAGTTTGACACCTCTGAATTAGGAGCTTCTTCAAAGCTTATGGTTGCTGCTTGCCTAGATATGGGGAACTCCAAGGCAAACAGGAAACCGAAACTATGAACAGCAATAATTATTTTACAGTAACAGAATTTTTCAAGTCTGAGAGCACTGCCCCCTTCCCTGCTACTACTTTCCAGAGAACTAGAGAGGATATTTTCTGAGACACTTTGCCCAGCCCCATTCTTCCATTGTACTCAAATTTCATTAACCAGACCACTGTGTGGGCAGCAGCTTTTCCTTGTCTCCTGAGGTTATTTTCACAGCCAATTCTATCTGTGTTTTGTTTCTCCATCTCATCAAAATATGCAATACTGGGTACAGTAGTATGTATGGCAGGATCTGTATTTCTTGAAGTATTGTTCAGTGTCATGAATGAAGGCAAATATACATGTCCCAGAATAATGTTGCAGTATCCAATCTAGGTCGGTCACCAGGAACAGAAGTTTAGTCTTCCGAGCTTTTGAACTTATGCTGGAGCCCATCCCCATTCTCTCCAGCAGAGTGTCTAACTGTAATAAGCCCTCAGGGTCAAGCCTGGCTCTCCCTCTAAGGTACTTTGGTTCTGAGATAACTTGCACCTAGGGATGAACAACTACTGGACAATTAGGTCCCTTTGCTGCCACCACCCTTTTCTTATAAACTAGTTCTCCTCTCCTCACCAGCCCTCTGGGAAACCAGAAGAGGATTGAAGGGGAAATCATTGCCCCATCCCAAGTCTAGATAAATATAGAGTTGACATTATGAGATTGAATTATTCAGTATTAGCAATTGGTATTTTAGAAGCTGTTAAAACATAGGCTCCATATTGAGTTGCCAAAAATTATTTTAACTGGATATACCTACATTTTTGTGTGGATGCTAAAGAAACTTGTTTACAGCTGCTGAAAAAAAAATCATTAAAATAATTGATCTAGTGTAAATTATACTCTTTTGCATCTATTGTTTCCAGTAAAAACTTTATCACACAATAATTCCAGGGCTTTGCACATAGCTATCCACGTCCATGTGCTCTATGCATGGATGTCTAAGAAGAAAGCCAAAAGGAAGCTACCTCAGGTTAGCAATCTTAGAGAAAGAACGGGCAAAGTGATAAAAAAGGAGATATAGAGTAAATAGATAATTATCTATCTATGCTGTATTGTCCCCTTGTGGCAATAATTACATTGTAAGGAGTCTGCACTATTGGATTCATATGTTCAACAAACATAATCCTTGTGTTTTATAAATCATGGCTTGTGATGTACTATATACCCGATCATAATAATTTGTACTTAAGGCTAAAACAAACTAAGTACTATCAGTGGGTAAACTTACGTCCTTACTATTATACTTACATGGATTCTCCCTAAAAATTTTTTTATATTTATATATTTTAAAGAGCTAGAGATAGTACGTATATTCACAATTTTTTTGTGATTTTGATTTTTGCATATAGCAATAGCATTTAAACTTATATACTGCTCCATAGTGCTTTACAGCACTGACTGAACGTTTTACAAATGTCAGCATGTTGCCCAATCTGGGTCATTTTTACCAACCTCAGAAGGATGGAAGGCTGAGTTAACCTTGAGCTGGTCATGATCAAACTCCTGGCTGTGGACAGTTAGCCTGTAATCACTGTGTCACCCCATGGGGTGTGTATGTGTGTGTATATATATGTATATATATGCATGTATATGTGTGTTTTATATACGAGGGCAATTCAGAAATAAATCTCTGTTTAGTTATCAATGACAGACACTCGCAGATACCGAACTTGTATTATACACATTAGAAAACTACATTACTTTTTGACATAATCACTATTCAAATTGAGGCACTTGTCATACTGTCTCACAAGATTTGAAATTCCTTCTGCAAAAAAATCTCCCACCTGGGAATGAAGCAACCCTGTAACAGCATCGTGAAGCAGTCATCATAGAAGCAGTGCAACTCAAGCCACTGTTTCATTTAAAAAACTAGTTCATTTTCAATTGATCTAGTGAACGAGTCAACTGCAAACCAATTTTCTCCTTCCATTCTTCACTGCCTACTTAACTACTGTGCATGGTGCCATAGGACAGGCGTCGCTATTCCCGCTTATTTCTCGCACAAGCTCAGAGGTTTATTTCCCAATTGCCCTCATATGTATTTAAACACTATTGATGAATATACATGTTATGATATGTGAATATGATATTTATATCACAATGGGACAGTAAGGAGGTAACTTTTCCCCCTTAAACTTTAGTATTATTTTATGGATTTTTAAAGATATGGGAAGTTGCAGGAAAAAGCAGGCTTGTCAAAGTATGGCTATGAAGCATGGGGAGCAGAAGTGTGTATGTCACACAACCTCCCTTTCACCCCTCAACTGCTGTAGTTTATATGGTCCAATTGGTATATCTGAAATAAGATTAAACTATCCAGTTCTGATTAGCTTATACTTTTTTTGGGGGGGGGGAGGGAAATGTCACCTTTTCTGTAGAGAACATTTTAACACCATGCTTGCTCTGTGATTGACTTGAGTTCACACATTCTGCTAAATCCAAACCAGTTAAACCACATTAAATTTTAATCCATCCCACTCCCAGTTTTGAAGCCCTCCAGTTGTGGATTTCTATTTCTAAAATTCCCAGTAATGGCCATGTTGGCTAGGGAATTCTCAGAGCTTACCTTTGTACTTCAAGAGGGCACCATTCTTTGGAATAGCTGGCTTAGCAGTTCTCGTTCTTAGTTAAACAAAAGTTTGATCATCCAGGAAGTTTACTTCATCCCCCACTGCTTATGATAAATTTATGAAACAAGAGTCTTTCTCTTGCTCTGCCCAGTATTCCGGCAGTTTCTTGAAACATATATCTAATTTCTAAGAAAAACGATGTTCTATCCATCTATTTCTTTCTAAGGATGCAAAAATAATTTCTATGGCCATAAAGAAGTTCTCATGAAAACAAAGCCAGATTCCTTTAACCTGAATGTCAATAGAGTTAAAAGAAATGACTGAGCACTTCATTAGTCTGACAGTTTCTTGTACATTATTGGCTGGCTCAATAAAGAATCTAGGTTTAAAAAATGATCCAGGAATGCTGCCATATGAGGAGCATTACTGATAAAAGTAAGGTCAATAGCTGTTTCAGCAACAATTCCTGAAAAATCTGAATGTTAACAGTTTGTGCTGTATAGCTTCCCAATAGACAGTTCTGCCAACTTCATAAGAAATGGAAAGGGAAAATATGCTCTGGACCCAATTTCTATGTAGTCATAAAAGAACGTTTACTTCCAGCATAATTCTCTATATGTTTATTCATCAAAGAGCAAACAAACCAGCTCATGCTTTAGCATGATGAGTGATCCAGTAAGATAGTCCCCATCGTAAATAAGAAAGCTTATTCTAAATAAATGAATTTATAAAATTCAATAAACCATTAGGTGGGCTGTTTTGTTTATGACTTAACACAATGAACAGATTCAGTTATTGTAACCTGTAAAGCATGGTTTATGATTCAGACTGATATATGAATTAAATCAGTGTAATCAATCAGAATTTTGTTCTGTAATATTTTTAATATAACTTGAGCTTTGTAGTTAAAAAGAGTTAGGAACTAATGCAAAACCTTCCACAAATAACTACTGGTTTTTTTTCCCCATAATTCCACATTGATCAAATTCCTTGTTTTGTTCTTGCCTTTCAAAATTCTTTAATGAAGGTCTGGCTACCAAACAGAAACATCACAATGGTTGGATTCATACAAAAACTATTCAAACTATCCAAACATATGCCATATGTTACAAGGCACATAGCACTCCCCAGGCTTGATTTGTTTAGCATGATATCCAAATAGAAACTCTTTATTGTCTTCTCCATAAAAGGCAAGTAAAAATGATAGGGTTTCTCATTTTGATTCCAAATAAGAACCAACAGATTCTGCACACACGGTAAAGGAAATTTTAGTCAATCTCACTCTGGTGTACTTAGCTTGGGCAAGGCACATCTGAGTTCTGGCTTATTTTCAAAGGCAAGAGCAAATAGCTTAAACCAGATGAGTCCATGTTCAAAACAAGGAACAGGAAGAAATGACCCCACTGCCCAAAAAAAGAGTAGCTTCAAGACAAATATACCATGCACTGTATGCACTGAACTGTAAAAATGTAAACTTTGCTTTCACTATAAATAAGGCCTGCGTTCAATACACAGAAGTTTCTGAAATTTGTTCATAATGGCTCCGCTCCTTTTGTATAATAAAACTACTTTTCAAAAGCTTGTGTGTGTCAGAATGCCTGTTGTGCCTGCATCCACTTCAGTCTATTGAAAGAAGGCAAAGTTCAGTGTGGAATATAGACTCATAAACATTTCTACAGCTTCTTGCATTTCAACAAGAAATAAGGCTAATTGTACATGACACTGTAAGCCATAAAGTAGCTTGTTTGCTTTTGGATTAGAACAGGGGTTCTCAACCTTGGCAACTTTAAGACTTGTGGACTTCAACTCCTGGATTAGAATGATGTATTAGATCTGGATGACATCTTAAAAGCCAGACTCAACATGTATATAATCCCCTATAATGCTTCCTTACATTGTTCCTGTATGTAGAGAGTATATCTTCAGACTATGCCATAAGAATTTCTCTTTGAGGTGTCTTTGGTGTTCTCGGAGCTCGGTCATTTTCTTGCAGATGTTTCATTACTCAAACTAGGTAATATTATCAGTGCTAATCCTGTATTTGGATTGAGGAATACTTTAAAATACTATTTTAAAATAACATTTTGTGTTTACTGTAATTGCAAATGGCAAAATAAACATCAAAAGGAGAAATTCTAGGATAAGAAATCAAAGTTTCAGTTTTGGAAGATGCTTCACTCCTGCTGTTTTTTTAATTGGTCCCTTCTTTGGGTCCAGTATTCTTTGATTTCTTGGAATATTACACTTTCTCCTAAAATATAAAAAAAACAAAAGAAAATTCAGAAAACACATTTTCACTTGCCTGTTGCTATAGAAACATGGCATTTTATGATAATTGTTATACCACTATTAGATAGCAGGGCTGTAGCAAAATGGCCAACCACATTTGCAGATGGCAAAAAATATGGAACATATATTTTTTAAGAAGGGAGACAAGAGTAGATTTTGGCTGGTTTTGAAAGAGACGCATAGACTTTTACAATAACAGCAACCTCCTCTTAAAGAAACCTTTTAGCATGGCCGTCACCAATGACAGTAGAAGCATGTATTATTCTTTTCCCCCGACACATTTTTTACAATTTCATCTATGACTGGATTGGATCTGAGCAATGTTTTATTCAAAATTGTACAATGCCAGCTGTGCAATACTGGGTTTACTCTTGGAGGGAAGCACTTAGGCATTAAACCTGGACAATAAGATTTTCTTTCTATAACTTAAAATAGGTCACATTAAGCTATAATGAAATTATTTCATTTGAGCTTACTGTAATGTGTGAATCCAGGCCATTATGGTTTATAAAGTATAAATGATGGCTTAGGACACAGAAGCAAGACTGATAGCTTGTTAAATAATCCTTGGTTATAACAAACTGTGGCTTAGTATGAAGTGAGAATCAAGGCAGTAAAAAGAGAGCGTTTTTAATTGCCTCCAGTGAGACCTTAGAAGGCATGGATTTTTTAAAAATGTCAAGTATTCTCTGGAGAAAATAATCTCCCAAATTCTGTGTTCTGAGCTCTTTCCAAGAAAGCATACTGCTTGTTAAAAAAAGTATTTGAGCCTATCAGCATATTGCATTATTTCCCATTTAGAAGCTTGCCTTTAAATTTGACATTCAAGTTGGTTTATAGAGGAAAAACAGTCTACCACAGAATTGCAGGAGAGAGTTAAGAGTCAAAGAAGTTGAAAATGACGATCATAAAAAATAGGTGATACCTTGATCACACTGTAGTGGCCACCATCTTAATTTTTTAAACAATTGATTTCTACATTCTAAGGAATTTTTTTGCTCATATATATGCAGCTGCTACAAATACTAACATCCAGATAGTTCTTATTAAAATGTTTTATAGGTCCCTAAATAAAAATATTACATTGATCTCCCAATTTTGTGAAAAGGATGTTTACAAAATAATAATAAAATGTAAGCTGTTTCAATTGTGTTTGCTATTTTAGTATAAATACGCTAGTACATTTAGTTGGAAAACCCCAAAAAGCTGACCAAAAAATCTTAATCTGTGTCTAGCCAGGCTTTTAAATTGTAACAGATGAGATGGCTAGATTTAATTTTCAAAATGGGACACTTAATTCTAGTTCTAAGGATAATCATGAATGCAATAATTATTTGCTTTGAGCAGATTAGGCACACAAATACCACATTCCAAAAGTCTTGCATTCTAGACCCCTCAAATGGGTTGGCTCTTTTCATGATGAATATTTAATAATAGAGAAATAGACTACTTTTTGTGGTATCTATATAATTAAAAGACTATGTCTGACTTTTACAAACCTATATAAAGTAATTAGGAGGTGGAGTAGTGCCATCCTAAAATTATCTGCATTATTATACAAAAGGGATTCGTGCCATCTATAAGATGTTAAGATAAGGTAGGAATTAATGTTTCTAAAAAGTGGAAGCTGAGATGGCATTAAAGATGATAATTCATTATTTTTGGTTTTGGTATCATTTATTTTAAAGTAAAAATGTAGGCTTGAACTTAGCATCATGTCTGCAGACTCATAAAGCCATTTTTGCCTTGCACTAAGTTTTAATTAAATATATAAAATTTGTCTATTATTTTATTTTATTTCATAATTTTTCAAAAGCATAAATTATTTGAATGGTATTTCAAAGTTTTACTGCATGCACACAAATAAAATTAGGGCATTAGGATTGACAAGCAATAAGTAAGCCAAGTATACACATTGTATTAATCTGTGTTTTTTAGATTATGGTTTGCTGAATAAAACATAACTGAGCTTATTTATTTATTTATTTACTTCAAGTTTATTTTGCATTTTTAACAAGAATGTATGTATGATTTTTTCCCTAATTTTATATCCACAACAATATCCCGTGACAACTGGGTTAAGAAATAACAACTCATTCCAATGACCTTCGGACAGGAAGTCTGATGAATCTGATCTCCTTTCATCCATAGTTAACCATAGGTAACTATAATCAAAACAAAACAATTCACTTTCTGGCTTAATGTGCTATGTGAATAGTGTTAGATAATTTACAAAATAGACTGGGCTAACTTGGAGATGTGTCACCCTGCTACTAGTCCAACCTCTTAGCGTGAGTAATAGAACCACTAAACCAGTAATAAAAACTATTTACCTCAGAACTTGGTTCTCGCTCTTCATGTCAACTGCATCTATTTTCTGCTTCTCTAATGGTTTTAGAGATCCTGATATCTGCAGAAGTCAATATATGTTAAGCCCTACTCTTTGTGAGCTTTCCCCAATAGCACCTTCATATAATTTGCATTTTTAATGGTTTGGAATTACAAGGTTTAAAAATATGTTCACAGTCAAGGAGAAAGAAATCTATAATATCTGGCCAGAGTGCTTGGTTTTTAAAGGCTGCCTCTACAAACATAGTAGGTATATTTCATTAGTATTTGAACTATGATCCAAAAATTGCATTAAAATATGTGGTACATTTTATAATGTTTGCAGGATATTATTAAGGACTAGCTCAAATACACCCCAATCATGAACTTGGATGTAGAAGATAATGAAGGCCTTAGAGCAAGAAGCAAAAACAACTGAAGTTGCCAATATAGGTTTGGATGCTACTCAATGGGCTATGCTACTTTCATGAAATAATACTGGGAAGTATTGAGATACATTTTATTAAAATAAAGGGAGTATTTTGCAGGGGCTCACCACAATGTCAGGAGTAAAGTGCCAAATTGAAATACAGCCAAGGACCAGGGCCAAAAAAGAAGAACACAAAGAGATAAGCACTAGATGAGGATCAGTTCAGTTTAGAGGACATTATAACAGATTGGCACTCAAAACCTCATACCAATGAACAAAGTTTAGGAAATACAGAGGACTAGCAATCCTAACTTAGGAAAACAAATTTGATGTCATAGACATTACCGAAACTTTGAGATGACACCAATGATTGGCACAAAGTTACAATTTATTCAAAATGAATAGAACCAGTAAAAGGAATAACAACATTGCACTTCATATATAAATAAAAAAATATCATTGCACATTCTGGAATCAGTTGAAAGGATATTATTGAAAGATTTGTTTAAGAATAAAGAAGGAATAACTGCTATAGACCATCTAGGCAAATTAAGCAGTAGAAACACCTATGAAAACTAACAGCACCTTCTGTTGAAGATAGAGAGCAAAACTACTTCCTTTTATAACTGAACACAGAAATATAAAAAGAAAAAGAATGAAAAGGAACCTATTTAGATCTCAATAGCAATCAGCTATTAATCCAGTTTCCAATGCTCAGGCATTGGAATGTTCACAGATTAAACTAAATGCTTTCAATGATAGTTAAGTGTTTACTGAATGCAGAATTTAAAAAGAGAAGATACAATAATTTATTTCTCCCTTTTTCTTTCTTTTCATTCTGCGATGTATATACATTTATTACAAAATCCAAATGTACTAAGAGCAAGTTTTACAAATGGAAATGTTTTTCAGCAAATGCACCTCATTCTATAAGACAAGAAATAATTATACAGAATGAACCATTTGCCAGCTGGTTTAAATACATGGATTCATGCTAATTGTAGCCTTCTTCCTAGACTAGTACATGATGAAAAGAATAACAGTTGTGTAATAGAGGTAAAATACAGTATATTTATTTTCTTTTAACACTATTTAAGGAACAATTTCTTTGAGACAATAAAAAACAAAGTATATCTTATCTATTACACAATAATACATACACACACACAAACGTGTGCATGAACAATATTACTCAGAGGCTTACTGATTCGTGATGAAAAATATTATTAGGCTATAGATCTAATAATATAAGAAAACATTCCAATTACAAGAAAAACTTAGATACTATTATTTATTCATTTTCTCATAAAACAGAAGACTTTAAATCTATCTCTACACTACTCAGGTTGGCACACTGTAGAATTCTAGCTATAGAAAGGGTTTGAAAATGTGATTAAAGTACACCCACACATCAGTTTGATACTGAAGGAATCTGGTAAACAACAAAATTGCATGTTGGACTTCAGATACGGGGATATTAATTTCACTTCAGTTGTATTAGTAGAGAATGGATATTTCCAATAAGAACCAGAAACATGGGAATATTGGTTGAAAATATTATTTACTGCTCCTAGTTAATATAATTAAATATACTCTATAATCAGTATCTACAATCCACACTGAGAGTAATGTGTAGGTGGTTTGTAAATATGGAAGAATCAGGATCATTGCAAATAAGAACCTCAAACAAGTGAAAGAGGGAAGCATGAGAAACTGAGTTGTATAATAGTTTTAACAGGTTTTCTTTTAGAGTATCCAACTACTAATACAAAATCTTTTCTAAAGGTTTTTTTTAAACCCAGTGTTGTTTCCTGAACTTACCTGCCTTTGAAAAATTTGATATACCATGAATAAAGTAAGTTTCTTTCCACAATTAAGTTAGTAGGCGTGTATTAAGCAATAACAAATGACATCATGGTGTTACAATAATTAGGGTTAGCACGTTATGAATCTTCTCCAGTTCAGAACCTGGTTATCTATGGGTCATCTATTCCCCCAAATCATTGCCCATCTATCAAGAGTTGAAAGAAAGGGCTAACTCCAGATCCTGATGTTTAGGAAGTACCACTTGTAGGGATCTTGGGCTCAGGTCCTCTTATTCACTGAGCCACCCCTCTAGATTAGCATTGTCCCTGACATCAGATAGGTTTCACTTCTTTAGGTTTTTTCAGTAAATCTTTAGAATAAGGGGGGTTGCATTTGTTATTCCTCTGATGGGTAAATCTCTTACATACAAGTATTTATGCTGATGAAACAGCTTTCATCCTATTAAAGGTCTATTAACTGCTCAAAATTAGTTATGTTTGAAATAGGACATAAATGGAATATAAAGTATAGTGTTAGTGAAGTCAAGAAAGTCGCCTTGTTCCCTGTATCCATTTTTCCAGAGAAAGTTACTGTCAGCTCAGTTCAACACTAGGAACATAGATTAGGATTTTAACAGACAAAAACAGTACTGATAAACAAGATCCGTGGGAGATAAAAGCATTGATCAATAGCAATTTTGTTGAAAGAACATGCCCTTAGTCAAACTCAAGTAGTAAGTATTTTTGTATTATTGCTACATTATCTCATCTTTCTGCCCTCACTAAATACATCATATTGTACCGTATCCAATCAAATATGTTATTGCAATCAATTACTAATTTTAGTACACCAATCATAAGTATATTATAATTTGCAAAAGTCTATGAAGAAATTGCATATCCAATCCTTTTTAGGTAGCCTCAGCTGTCTCTGGTATTGTTAATAGAGGGTCTGATTGCCACTACTAAAGAATTCTCTGGAAAAATTATCTTATAAAAGCATAATAAATAAAATAATAAAATTTCTATAACATATGAATGTGATAGTTATAACTACCTACTGCTTTATTTACAGTCACTAAGATATTTTTGCCTCTCCAATTTTCCTTCCCTCCTTCTATAACAGTTGTGTGCATAGGTATTTTTGAAAACTAGACTTGTACATCTATTGAAATAGGTTATGATTCATAAGAATAAATACGATAATATATTTGCTAATTCCAAGATATTTTTTTTATTTTCATTTGTGTATATTTAAAGAATAAGCATTGCAAACAATACAAGAAAGAAAGTACACGCAAACCTGAATATTTTTCAAATCTCCAGTTTTCCACAATTAAAACCTATTGCTCAAAATACTACATTATATTGTTAATGCTACTAAAAGTCAGTTGTGACTAGAATGGTATATAAGTCTAGTAAACCAACAAACCAACAAATAAACAAATTTGATTAACCTTTCCCATGGCTGGTGATAAGTAAGATAGTTGAATTTATTCTTACTTGTAATCTGAAGCAATCCCCCAACAAAATTACATTTATAAGTTCATTAAATAGTGTATCTTCCACAACATGGTGCACTTGTATAGATGCAATGCTTCCGCTAATTTTAATAGACTTGGGGAAAAAGAACCAGGGGCAGAAGAATAATGAGCAATTAAATTTATGAGTGTACAAGTAATATACTTTAATGCAATACACAGTTTAGTTAAGAGTTAAGGATCAGTAGCATCATATATCCAATCTTTAAGTTTACAAGGGCAGAAAGAAAATGGCAAAACTGATTAACATCTCCCTTCAGCATTCTAGCTGAGTCAGCTTTGCAGAATTTTCTGGCCGGGAGGTGAATCAGCTTAAAATAGATGAGGAAAGTCCAGAAAGGAAAGAGTAATGATTGGTTTAGGACAAAACATTTTTTTATCATTCTAGAGATTTTTAGACTTACTTGTGAAATCATTGCTAAGTATGCACGGCGTTCATCATTGGCTTTATGATAAGCCTAAGTTCCAAAAGAACAAATAAATGAACAAAACAGAAAATTAGATATTAAGCATAGCCCAGGATGCATGCATGCGTGTGTGTATATTATACTTTTCATCAATATAACAAGTGATCATGAAGCACCTTAAGATGGATGTATTTTAGAAGAACTATAGTAGAGAATACAGACCTTTGCCTCTTGATCAAGTCTAAGTTCATACTCCTTCAGCTGATTCTGGAGACTTTTCTTCTCCTCTTCCAGTTTTTTAAGAAACTGATTTAAAGAATTCTGACATTAAATATGTAAATAAAACAATATACATTAGTTTTATTGCTATTCTGTTACCCAATGAAAAAGGCCATTAGCAATTTAGAATTTGTGATTACATGCTTTAAACCCAATTATAAGCTGTACAAGTAGTCTTCAACATATGACAACTGAGCCCAAAATTTCTGTTGCTAAATGAGACATTTGTTAAGTGAATTTTGCTCCACCTTATGGCCTTTCTTGCCACAGCTGTTAAATGAATAACTGGAGTTGCTAAGTCAGTATCACAGCTGTTAAGTAAATCTGGCTCCCTATTGACCATTCCGTTACTGACTTAACAACTGCAGTGATTCACTACTTTTACTTTTTTCTAATGTCCGGTTTTACTTCAGTGTGATATTTTTTGATCCTCTTCCAACTGTTCAAACTATGAGGGAGACGGGCTGTTGAGAAACATGAATATATATTTCCATAAATAAATCCATAATGCTTCATCTCAATACAACTACCGAACTGTATATTTTTCTTCCTTATTCAGCAACAACATATCCATGCAAAAACTTTGCCTTGCCTTTTTGATTTTTCAAAACCTCATGGATGGGAAACCATGAAATATTGCAGAGTCTGAATAAGACACAAACTTCTGTGCTCTTCCTTTTTCCACACAGGATAAGGAAAAGATGTTTCCTAATAGTCCCTGTTTCATGAAACTCTGTTAAATTATGATTTAACAGCAATTCACAATCTGAAACAAATTTGATTATGATCTCTCCTGAAGTGCAGTGTGGAGATTTACACACTCACACAAACCTGTGGAAAAGCAGTATACAAGCCTGATTATTATCAGTTTTGCAAACAGTTAAACAGAAGGAATTATTGCCCTTCTGACTATACTCACTATAGACACAATAATCACCATGGAAATAAAGAAATATATATCTACTAGTTCACAACACCTATTTTCAAGTAAACATACGAGAATAAGCTCTACTGAATGCAGAAGGATTTATTTCAAAGTAGACAGGCATTCTAAATCTCTTGATGTAATAGGACTTCAGCAGAAACTTTATTGCACAACCCTTCACAATTTCAATGTTACGTATGAAATGAACATAGGATATAAATTACTTATGGGTTTATTTTATATTTTATGTGAAAGAAATTTCTTTATAGCTAAAGCTTCCAAAAGATAACAAAATGGTTAAAAATCACAAAACAGAATTTATAGTGATATAGACAAAAATGATGTATTATTTTAAAAGATGCTGACATATTGCAATAAATCTCCAAATGATTTAGACATTAAGAAACTAACACCAGAGCCACAGTTTTTGAGACTTTTCCTACAATTTACAGCAAGATGTTAATTTTAATCCCCAGAATAAGAAAGTAATATATATCATGGAAATATGCAAAGCTATTTACTCACAATAAACTGAAATTTCAACCAATTATAAATAAATCTTCTTTGAATAAAACAAAATATTCCCATTTTACAGTATTACAAAGAAACTTCCTGGTCCTTTGATATCGGCTAATACTTTCCTTCTGGTTCCCATCAGAGGTGAGACAGGTATCAATCAGGGCAGTGCCCTTGTCAACCATGACATGTCTAGGTTCTGAGAAGCTGAACATCATTGCAACCCGAACAAATATTTGACACCTCGGTCAGAATGAAAGTATTGAAATGCATAGAGCAGAATGCTGTTGCCCAAAATATTTATCAACTACTATATAGCAAATTGTACTTAAGGTAGGAAAGTTACTATACAGAGCAAAGCATATCAAATTCTGCAATGAACGTTATTCTTATTAGTCAGCCATTGTATCTCAGGCCTTCCAGCATTGCCATGCTTGCCTGGAGTATTATGGAAGCTGAAGTCCAATATAAATGGAAGGCATCAAATTGAGGGAAGCTGATCCAGCAATGCAGCAGTACAATGTAGCTCTTCAATAGTGAGATGTACACTATTTGCAAATTCGGATTCAAAGTTGGAGCAACAAAGAGAAGGGAAGGGAGAGAAAAGGGAGGGGAAAGAAGAGAAGAGGAAGGAAGATATTGTTTTAAAATAGGCTGGCAACACTAATGCTACTTGAGAGAGAGTCTGACCTCCAAAATTTAAAAAGTATTTCTTAAAAGAATTTAAAATGGTCAGTGTCTGGTCTGCCATCTTCAGCTTGGCGCCTCACTGGCATCCTGACATCAAAGATTAGAGAAGAAGGGGTGCGGGGAGAACAAATGGGCAATAAAAGTGTATGGGGATGTGATGGGAAAATGGGAGGGGGAATGACAACTGACAAAGACCAGGGAAGCACAGAATCAGTTTGTGCCAGCGCTCAAGGACACACACCATGAGAGTGGAATGTGGACTAACCCAAACATCTCAGCATTTCTCAAAACACCTATGCAGCTCTTCTTTGGCTGCAGACAAACCAGTCATGGGGAGAGGGCTGGAATGAGGGGAAACCTTTGTAATGTTTTCATGTGCGAAATTTAATTCTAGCCTAACTTTACTGCAACCAGCACCCTTTATTAAAAGAGCCTATCACTTCAAATCAAATGGAATCAAAGGTCTTTCTTTCCTGAGGGGTGACCCAGCTGTGGCAGGTCTGACAGTCAGAAGCATAAGAGATTTTGAAAGATGCATATCTCATGAATTTCTGACCACTTTACTTACAGCTGTTAAATGAAGTCAAAAGAAACTTAACGGGCTAGAAGCTAAACTAATACACTTCAGCATTTTACAGGTTGATAAATTATAGTGCTCTAGCTCACAAATACTCTGAAACAATGCCCAAAATGGTTAATTAACCAACATTTTTTTATTAATTGATAGATCTGGAAAATGACTGCTAAAGGAATGTTTAATATTTAGAGGTCTAACAATTGCAACACTTATTTTCTGAACAAAACCAGATTTTAAAAAACACCATAGATACCAATGAAGAGAGCCATTGTTAGCAAAAATGCACCTGATGCAATCTAGTCTAGGTATAAAGCAAGGTTTGAGAAACTGACATAAGAGAACCCACTCTTTTTGAGCAATATGGAGAGAAAGCTAAAAATTGAAATGAAAATTCAATTACAACAGGGATCCTCAGTTTTTATTTTTATCTATCAAATTTAGAAACCATTCATCTCCTTCAGAGGGACTCTGAGCGATGTACAAGTAAACTGCTAAAACATAAAAACTGTATATAAATTTTAAAAAGAGGCAAAGATGTTCAAAATTCATCATTAACATGGGGGAGCCTTCAGGATGCTAACAAGCCCCATGGTTGCATGCTCATCTGTGAATCCCAAGCAAGACAACAGTACCATGTTTTCAAACCTTTTCACTTGTGGTCCACTTTCACCTCGGGGGGGGGGGAATGTTCCAAAGGGCAAGGCATCAGCAGGGGCAACTGCAAAGAGGGGTCTCTTTCCGCCCATTGTAATTCTTTAATTGTTGGGATTTTCCCTTTATCAGGAAGCACTCTCAGATTTTTAAGCTCACAAATAGCATTAGATGGTCACAAAACACCAGAAAGCAAACTGGTAGTGAGATTGCTCTCAACCACCCTTTCTAAGTACTCTCAATCATCTTAACAAATAGTTTTATTTCTGGATATGTCAGCACATTTTCGGCACTGCTAAAATCTGCTTTATAATTTTTCAAAAGCTTTCTTGGCCAATAAAAGAGACCTGATTTTTTGGGGGGGGGGTCTTATTCTCAGGGTGCTTGCTTTCAGAATTGTCTTGATAGTATTTCTGATCTCATAGAATTGAGAGGCAGCAAATGCTATTACTGTTGTTCTCATTTATTAATCTTTCCACTACACTGGTGCCCCCCACTCCCTTCTTGCCTGCATTTCATCATCTGAAAAGCCTGTAAGATTTACAGGAAGCCCAGGAATCCAGGAAGATGTAGGGAGACTCACAAATTACCAAATCAATGTCCAAATACCACCTTCCACTCACAACATTTTATCAAAATTTTCTTCTCTGAAAGAATTTTGAAAGCAAATTCCTTTTCATTGAATAAAATGAAAGTTGATAGAAAAAAATGAAAGCTTTTTTTTCCTACAAGGTATTATTCTAAATAAAGTGCAGAACACAGTGTACACTTAATTACAAATAATGAGTTTATGTGGAGCCCAGAGACATCCTTGTAAATAAAGATTACATTTCAAGCTGGTGCTTCCCTTTGCATATACTGGCTTCCTTTTTAATAATTAAAAGAATCTAATAAATAAATAAGGTAGGACAAGGATTTTGGCAGATGATGCTAAGCACATATTGTCCATGAGTATTGCACTGGGACTCAAAATCTGGAGACACAGCATTGTGTCTATCTGGAAAAAAAATATAGTGAAGTGGAATGTTAAATATAATAGAATATTATAGGACTGTCTTAATTTACAGTGATTTCTTTCCCCAAATACCAACAAATCAGTTATGATGTTAAGGCTTAAAGGTGGAAAATAGAACCAGCATTGTTCTTTTGTTGTATAAACTCTGGGAAGTTTCAATTTCAAGGCTAGGAAAAGTCTTAGAAGGACAAGAGGGTAACACTTAAGATTTAAGACTTAAGAGTAAAATGGGCGGTTTCTAAATTTGATTATTTTATTTATTTGTAACCCCAGGACAATCTTACTTCTGGGTTGGCTGGCTGGACACAGACACACAGAGCTTGATTTCTGTATTCTGCAGGCAGATTATCTGTTTATTTTTTCTATTTATTAAACATATTTCAATGCTGCCACAATTCAAATTTTTGGCAGCTTACCCAGAAAATATACAAAATAAAGCATACCCCCATTTTAAGAGAATACAAGATGATAATGATGATGATGATGATGATAGTAGTAGTAGTAGTAGTAGTAGTAGTAGTAGTAGTAGTAGTAGTAGTAGTAGTTGGAAGGGACCTTCAAGGCCTTATAGTCCAACCCTGTTCAGGCAGGAAACCCTATACCATTTCAGACAAATGGTTGTCTAGTTTCTTCGTAAAAACTTCCAGTGTTGGAGCATTCACTTCTGG